TTCTCTATTTCAGAGGCKATCCATAGAGAAGTCAGCCTGCCTGTTGTCCAGGGGTCAGGTGGCTTCCTARGGGACATCTGGCACTGATAAACACTGACATGCTTCTGTAACCACAAGGTAGAAAACAGGAAGAAAGACAACGGAACAACTGCTGGGATATCCTTTCCTGGATGGAGACCTCAGAATACTGACCACTGTAAAACTACAACCACGAACTGATGTTTGGTTTTCACCCGTGACTCAAGGCCAAACTTTTGGGGGCAAGGAAAAAATTTACTTGGAAAGGTAGCAAACCAGAGAAGATGGAGGCCATTGCTAACAAAGACCGTCTTGCTGAGGGGTTGCAGGTGTAAGGCTTATGAAGGGAGTTTTGAGCCTACCAGGTGGGAAGCAGGGTAGTTACAAATTCCAGGGTAGTCTGGAACAAGTTTCAGGTAGTCTGCTTTTCTGGCGCTTGGGCTGCTGTTATCTATAGGTCACCACATGTTCTGGGTTCAATAAATCTAAAGAAAAGTTACTGATTAGAAAGTTTTGTAACTGTCTTCTTAGTTCTGTTTTACAGAAATAGCTAAGACTGCAGTTAATCATTAGTATACAAAAGGCATTTTTCATCAGAGAACAGGGTAGGGCAGCAAAAGCTAACGATCCCCTGGAGAACAGGGGAAGATAATTGAAAGACACTGTTGCAGGTCAAGGTAGTGCAATGCAAATCTATTCAGAGAACAGTTTTAGCTGGTTGGGAGGCTTCAGTCAGAGCTGTCACCTACAGAGAAGCTAGTGGAAGACTGTATCCTCCCTAAAGAGAAGGGGTACAGTAAAACACCCCTTCCCTGAATGCCCCCTTTCTGATCCCCCAAACCTAGACAAGTTGAGGGAAGAATGAGAGCAAGTCCAGGTAGGAAAATCCAGATACATGTGATCTTGAAGGACACTGGCTTTCTCTTATCCACACAGGGAACTAGGGCAAGTTAGTGTTATTTATAGGAAGCTATTTTCTTGAATATGTGCCAGGACAGTTGCTCCTTTGGATGCAGATGGAATAAAAGAAGTGAACAAAATTATGCTGACAATGTCACTGCTTCTGCAACCTAACATGTACAATCCCTTTCTTAGTGGAGATGGGAGCAGAACTGAGGGGACTATGGAAAGGATATACATCACTCATTCAGTCAGCCACCACTGGACAAAAYGTTATGAGAGAAAGAAGGAACTGCTTGTTGAAGCACTGTGAGAGATGGAGGTGCCACCTATTTAGCTTATTGTCACCAGGCTCTTCTTGTAATACTTTCTGATCTCTTCTAAGCATTCACATATCCCATGATGTTTCTGGGTGCTTTCTTTGGCTTTATTGCAACCTACCCCACAGCTCTAGCACAACTGGGCTGAGACTTATAATATTTTGCTTAGCTGCATGACCTCCAAATTAGACAAAGACTATCATTATATCGCTTAGCTGCATGACCTCCAAAATTAGTGGTTTTTTAAAATCAACTAAAAGAGAGTGGAATTAGAGTGTTTATTTAGGCTTTAACTCACTTACAAAACTGCCTCTCTTATAGTTTGAAAGGATCTTAATGAATAAATTGCTCATTTCCTAAGTGGAAAACTAAGGCTCTCATTGAAGCTAGGACCAGAACCAGGACTAAAGTCAGACCCCTCTTTCACTAGCACTATATATACTTTTATTATGAAAAATTTAAAAAGTCACAGAAGTAGAATGATTAGAATAATGAACTTCTATATGCTCATCGTTCAACTTCCATAATTATCAATGTGTGATCTCTCTTGAAAAACCAATATCTTATCATATCCAATCCCCCCCCCAAAAAAAAGAAAGAAAAGAATTAAAAGAGAAGGCAGAGCAAGAGAAACAAAGATTGTCAATAAATGCCTGAAATGTAGAAAATTTGTTTTGAGTTGTTTTTATAATAGTCTGAAAAACATATTTATTCTGAAAGGACACTGTTCCTTTAACTTGCTTACTGATCCCACCCAGACTTTGCACCCTGGCCAAATGCCTGACCACTCTTGCTTTAACTGAGTCTAATAAGCATGAATAAAAGATTACAAAAGATCCAAAAGCAAAGACAATTTTTATTTCCTACAGAACAGATCAGTATCAAATTAGCTACCTCCATCCCTAACAGTAGTCCTTGCTGTGGGCATTCAACCAGTCTTTAATTTTTATTTGACAAACTTTATAAGGTAAGACATAACAACTTTGTTTTAATCACTTAACTCAGATAGGAAAAATAAATGGTTTACATATTTATTTTATGAAGAAAGCTTTTCAAAATTTTTCATCTTCTGCTATTACTTGAAATAAATTATTAGAGAAATATAACTAATTGTTAAAATGCATAAGTTTAAACTTTATTTTAAAGTTATTTTAAAATGTATTTTTAATTTAGTCTACTAAATTGCATTAGAATAATGTTAATGTCTTTTGGAACAAAAATTCTACAATTCAGGATTAATTATAGAATACGTTCTGTATCTAATAAGCTAGTTTGGCAATTTGAACAAGGACTTATGCAATCATTTTATCTTCATGCAGAAATCAATGAGAGGCAAACACTATGAATAAAATCAGCAAACTCTACTGAAAGATGATTTTTGTATCTGAAACATTATAAAATATAAAGTCTCTGTAATTTATTGATTCTGCTATTTATATGAAATAATTTTAGGCCAAAAGCAAAAAAGTAACATTTGACTAAAGACAATCCTTGTTTATGCATTTATAAATGTAACCTATAATAAACATATGGATTTACATTTCTTTCATTTAACTAATAAATTTTTCATTCCTGAAACCTATTTTGCTTGTACATGGCATCTAAAAGAAAGAAAGTTGAGAATTATTAAAAAAAAAAAAGAGCAGAAAAAACACAGTAAAAGAGATTAGATGTGAGTGGGATTCCACAAAGCCAAACTAATAGGAAGAAAGAGAATTCAGGAAGGCAGTAAAACTAAAAAATTAGAGGAAGAAAAGTAGAAGAAAGTATACCTTGTACTTCAGGAAAATGATAAGGAATAGGAAAACTTTGGTTTGAAAGGGCTGGATAAAAACTGTCAGAGCAAATAATAATAAAATGTGAGGTAGTGTGGTTATCGCTATTGAATAAATTGTGTAGAATGTCATATATGTAGGGGTTGGTATGAATTTATGATTATATGTCAATAAAACTGTATAATAATGTGCTTATTTGGGAGAAAACATAAGTCTTGAGTTAAAGTCAGTATGTCTAATTGAGTCCTGTGCATGAGAAGACTTTTCTTCTTAGTATCATGCATGGGATTCATCTTCTTTAGGTCTTTGATGTATTGTTTGATAAAATAGCTTATAAAGTCTCTTATTCTCAATGAAATTTAGTTCTCAGTCTCTTATTTCCAGAAATTCTGAGATGTTCTTTATGGTATGGACTCAATCAAAGAGAAAAATCATAGGTGACACAAGACATATAATGTTATTCCTTTATCCCTTTGTAAATGCAAAAATAGCTATGTTTATCTATACAGGCTTATCTTTACACTAATCTTCAGAATCTAAGTTGTACATAGGAGGACTATCCTTTGTGTGTTCTATTTCCTTAGCACACTTCTTATTTTTTCCCCAATACCTAGCTATCTTCAATCTTGGCATACCTGGTCTGATCAGCTGGCATTTGGCCAATTGCACTTGACGCACCTGCCAGCAGAGGTGCTTGGTTATGTGGGAGCGAGGTTCTCTTAATGACCTTCCTACAGGATAATGTTATGTGAAGAGCAGACGATGGAATGGAGCCAAATATTGCTCTGTCTTCAACCCACCAGCTTTGCTTCTCTGGGGTTTGTCCATCTGGCAGTTATGAAAGAAATCAGTGTCCTGTCTCACTCCTCACTACCACTGTGTGTATTTCCACCCTCTATTCAGAGCCTGGAAATATCATGCTCACGATTTCCCAGTTCACATTCCTTGAAGGCAAGGTGCCAAAGAAGGAAAATGTGATTCCTTTTCCAGAACTTTTGAAGTCAATATAGTTTAAGCAGGCAAACATTTCAAAACCATGTTGAGTATTTGTTCCAAATAAGCTTTCTTGTTCTCATACTCTTGGGTACACTGAGCTAGCAACATATCAGCCTTTTCTTGTCAGGGAATTCTGCAGGCTAAAAAGTCACTYGATGTGTAAATGGGCATATTGACTGATGATGACTGAACAACAGAATTATAATTTTTCTTTGTTAATCTATCTAGAAAAATGGTTTCGCAGGGCTGTTCATAGCGRGGTACTTCCTGACTGCAAGCCTATTTCAGTTCATTAGTTCTTCCAGCTAACTCTAGTTCTTCCAGCTATCATTGGAAGCTTTGAAGTAACTCTGTTGATTGGCTCTCATACTCTTTTTGATTCGTTGGCTCCAACCCTGGTGGAGACAAAGTTTCCAAAGTGAGGGTAGAAAAGAGAAATGGGGTTCTATAAAAACCGAAGGGTAGATTAATTTTTGACTTGACCTCTGGAACAACTGAAGTTATGTGTATAATATTAGGACTGAAATGGAGGTAGTGTTCTCCAATCCTGCAAAATGTTGGATTGGAGAACAGTTACAATAAAAATGAGTGAATCTGAATTCACTCAGAAGAATCTGGGAATGTCAAAGCAGATGCTGTGATTGAACCATGGCCACCATGAGGGGMGGGGCTGAAATGTCTTCAGTTGCTCTTCTCACATCCTGCTCCTCATAATATAATGGGAAATTAAGACTTCTTGAATATATAAATATTTATTAATAAATATTTGTTTATGGGTGCTATGATTTACTTGGGTTAGAAACTTAAAATCTCAATGTGAATATTTTTCTAGAAATGTGTATGAGAACCCCTTTCTCCAGTAACATGCCAGTTTTTGACTCTATAAGCTTGAAATTAAAAAATAGCAAACCTTATTTTTATTGAAGTATTTATAACTAATTTCTCTGTTTCAAGGTGCTACCAGGCAGATGAGTTTTCACCGTCTACCATAATGTGGAGCAGATATTTTGCCTTCTGTCTCTTGCTTTTGCCAATTTTTATGAGTCAAACAGTATACGGACAAAGAAAGAAAGGAGCAAAGTCAAATTTACTTGCAAGGAAAAATGACCTCCAGGGTAAAAACAAGTTTGCTTATGTTCTTAATTATTAATTTCAGCTGGCTAAAACACTGATTTCACATTTTCTAAATAACATTTGAGGTAAATAGTAGTACATCACATGTATGTATATACATGACATTCTACTTGGATGTAATTATGACAGTAATACATCTTACACACTTAGAGCACATCAAAGTGTTTAGAGCACTTGTGCATTTGTTATCTCATTTGAGCCTCACATGTAAAATAGGCAGGACAGAGACTGTCACTTTCATGTTATAGAGAAGTTGAGACTCAGAGAAGTTAAATGGCACATTTAAGGCACAGGCAAACTAGTAAGAAACAGAGCTTGGATTCAAAGTTCTCTGTTTTCAAAATAAGTTTATTTCTCCCTTGCTGTTGATGAGTACAGTCATTTTGTCCCTTAGTTTCAACGAAGTTGATGACAAAAATCAAAACCAAATGGGGACTCACTGATATGACACACAACCTAAGAAACAACCTAAGAAATAAAGCATTGTGGTTTTTTTTTTTAACTGTGAGAAMACCTCACTTGTTGAATTTTAAAATATGCCCTCCCTTCCTCTCACTTTAAGTGGGTTTAACATTGAGAATATGCTGTGAATATATGATCTTTTGTTTACTTGTTTGCTCTTCATTTGCATGATCCTACAAGGGGAAAGACTTGGAAAGAGATTTAGATCTTTACAATTAAGCCTTATCTCCCACGTGATCTTTCATATCCACTTCACTCCCTTCTCAAAACCAAATACAACAGCCACCTTAGGGTGCTCCTATACAATTCAGTTTGATGAGTTAGAACAATTAAGTTGCCTAATCTTTTTTGTTCTATTTCAGACTCTGTTTGCTTCATAGATGTGCTCTTCATTGTGGACAGCTCTGAAAGTTCTAAACTTGTCCTCTTTGATAAACAGAAAAATTTTGTGGATAGCTTGAGTGACAAGATCTTCCAGTTGACCCCGGGTCACTCTTTGAAATATGACATCAAACTGGCAGCCCTTCAGTTCAGCAGCTCAGTCCAGATCGATCCACCTTTCTCTTCTTGGAAGGACCTGCAGACGTTTAAGCAGAGGGTTAAGTCTATGAATTTCATTGGACAAGGCACCTTCTCTTATTATGCCATTTCCAATGCCACTCGGCTACTTAAGAGAGAAGGACGTAAAGATGGTGTGAAAGTGGTTTTGCTAATGACTGATGGCATGGACCATCCAAAGAATCCAGATGTTCAAAGTATTTCTGAAAGTGCTAGAAATGCAGGAATATCATTTATCACCATTGGACTTCTCACTGTCAATAAAACCAAACTTCATTTGATATCTGGGGATGCACCCAGTGAACCTATTCTACTGTTGAGTGATCCAACCATTGTAGATAAAATTCGGGATCGCCTGGTAGGTACCAAATGGATATGCTAAGTATTTTGCACCATAATGTTGATATCTTGGTTATAAATTCTGTAAGGGTTGATACTGGGCAAGAAACATGAAAAAAAGTATATACACAAATTTCTTTGGAATTTTCTTTCTATAAGAAAAATCTGAAGTCTCTCTTCATTTCCTTATACCAAGTAAGCTGGGAAAGTACAAGGCTCATTCCCTGAAATTGCATTCCTAACTTTATTATTAGTCCAGGCTGAGGATTTGGGAGGATTACTTTCCAATCATACACCCCAGGCTTCTGTTTATATATCCTAAGATTGTGAATGCTGCTTACATATATTAATTTTGTGGTCAACTTGTGGTCTGCTGTATTTATATCAAGTTTGTCTTTTCCCGGTTCCACATCTGCAGAAATATTTTTGGCTCTATTTCACCTATTGCCACATTATACTACTTAAGCAAAATAGAATTTTATAGTAGTAGAACTCCAATTTTGAAAATTATTTCTGTGTTTCTTAGATAAATTAAATAGGCCCATTTAATTTATAATCACCTGAAGTCAACCAATAATTTCTCCCTCAAATCAATGAATCCCACTTGATGGGTCTGGTTAGATGCCTCATTGCTTCTCTGTATTTTTTGCTTAGCTATGTGTGAAAGTCTCTCCTTGCTGCTTTGGAAAACATGAGGCATAGCAATCAAAAAGAAATCCCTCTTGACAACATTTCTCAAAAAGAAAACTCCTGAAGATGAATTGGTTGATTTGTTAAATGTTAAAAAAAAATCGATTTCCTTAAAAATACTGATTTATTTGATTTTCTAAGAAGGCAAGACAGCCTAGTCCTTTAGGCACTGAGCATGTGGATATCTTCTCTATGATGCAAAGAAAAGTCAGGTCCTACTCTGAAGATCGTTTTGATCCTTTTGTCCTTCCTCCAATGCTTTTCCTAATGTTACTCTTATCTTTTTAGTGTCAATTGTTTTCAGCATGAGACCTGAGTTTTTTTTTTATCTGAGTAATATCATATATTGTATCTAAGTAATGTCTAAGTGATATTGTAATACCGAATATTRCCAGTTTTTATGAGTCAAACAGTATACAGACAAATAAAGAAAGGAGGAAAGTTGAATTTACTTGCAAGGAAAAATGACCTCCAGGATAAAAACAAGTTTGCTTATGTTCTTAATTATTAATTTCATCTAGTTAAAATACAGATTTGAAATTTTCTAAATTGAGGTAAATAGTAGTACATCATACACACACACACACACGCACACAACATTCTACTTGGATATAATTACATATTAGGTGTGTATTTTACTTTATTCTGTGTTTGCCAGAATCTTATGATATGGGTACTATTATTATTATTATTTTATGGTTGAAAATTTAAGGTCAGTCAAAACCCCAGAGTGTGCATGCTTAACTCTATAAAGGTGTATACAGAGAGGAAATAGTAACTGTTTTAAAAGTATTTTTTTTTTCAATCAGAAATGTCCTGAAACAGGTAAATAACATCTCTACTATTATTTTTAGTCTTTGCTCCTTGGGGATTGAGGATATATGGGAAGGGTTCTGCCTAGACTTGAGAGAGAGATGACACCTAGCTCCCTAGTGCTTGGGGTGAGTGTGCATCCTGAACAGTTCTTTCACATGAGAGGGAACCTTGCCATGGTGCTGGGATAACATTGAACCCTGACCGTACCCATGGCCCAAGGTGTCCTTACCACTTAAGACAATTCTGGCATGTGCAGAAGAGAATCCTGGGGCTGTAAACATGAGTGTCCTGCTGCTACTTCCCTGTCATTATCCTGTGAGAAGAGTTGAATATAGAAGATGTGGGGCAGGCAAGTCCTTGTTTGGCCAGATGTGCAGGCTCAGGATATTCATACTTCCTCTTGACATACGCTTGTTGAGAAACTCTACCTCAAAGGGCACACAGGCTCTTGCCAGGAGACTGGAGGCAGGACTGTTGGTCTGTTTCTAGGGAAATCAGAAAATGACCAACAGTGTTGCTATTCCTTAGCATCCTGTGATTTCAGCTTGTTTGTTCAGATGGAAGCTTAATGAATAAGACTGTTCTTAGAAGAGGTCCTGCTTCCCAACCATTTCCTGGGTCCAGAGCAGAAGTCATCTTTTTTTTTTTTTTTTTTTTTTTTTTTTTTTGTACTGGTAATTGAACCCGAAGGTGCTTTACCATTGAACTACAACCCCAGTCCTTTTTATTTATTTATTTTTCCCACATTTTTTATGGGTGTGTTATAAGTGTGCATAAGGATGGGATTTGTTACATAATCTTTAATGCACACAATATAACAATATACTTTGGACAATACCATCCTTTTTATCTTGATTTTGAGATTGGGTCTCAGTAAGTTGCTGAGGTTTGGCCTTGAACTTGCCATCCATCTGTTTTAGATTCCTGAGTCACTGGGATTGCACGTGAATGCCACCACACCCAATCCTCCCAAGTGTTTAATTTAGGCTCTTTAAAGAACAATACTCCAGGATTTATGTTTCTATTTCACCATCTATGAAGTAGAATTTGACTCCTTATCAGGTTATTGGAAACATTCCTCGTTTAATCTATTTGTATTATATCTTTAATTGAATTTTTACCACTTTATTTTGAAGTGATTTCATAACTATGAATTTCATAAAAACTATTTCATAAATATCATAAAAATGTTAGGTATAGTTTAACTACAAAACTGCATCTACTTAAAGTATATAACATATGAGTTTTAAAAATGTATACATCCATGAAACCATCAATGCAATTGGAATACAGAACATTTCCACCACCCAGCTTCTTCCTTATACCTTTGGGATACTTGCCTTAATACTGATATGACTTTTGTTGCTCTAGGTTAGTGTACATTTTCTAGAATTTTATAAGTAAACTCATACAGTGTGTGCTCTGTTTGTGGCAAACTTTTTTTTACCCAGCCTAATGATTTTGAAATTAGTCAGAGTTGTTTCTTTGGATTAGCAGTGTATCCCATTTTATTGCAGAGTAAACTTAAGTTGAATTTAATTGACACAATTGTCCAGAATAAGTCAACTTTGCAGGAGTCAAGATGAATTGCAGAGTCAGTGTATATGCCTTGATATCTCTAGTAGAAAGTTTCATGAAATAATCTCATGAAAACATTTTAATTCTGAATTACCCATGAGGGATGTGGTGATTCCGAATTGAAGGGGATAAGTGAAATATTTTTATTGTTAGTTTATTATGGTTCATATAGTAGTGTTGAAACCTAAGAAACAAATTCAACCAATGTCCCATATATATTACTTGGTCCTTTAGAAGAGTAAAAAAAGAATATGTGAAAACAATTTTTTAAAAAAAAATTTTTTTCCTCTATCACTTTTAATGTAAATATTTAAAAAGCCTTTATGAGAATAAAATTTGTGACAAATTGGTCTCTTTTAATGAATATCATCAGAAAGAACATAAACTGTAGGTATTCCCTCCTTCACATAAATAATCATTTTGGTAATTTCCRTATCATCCTCAGAATTATATGCTTTATTTTAAAATAATGGTCCACTTCTCTTTTTCTCAGGGCTTCCCTTGCTTGGAGTCTTATTTCTGCTCTAATGKATTTCAGATTTTGTTAGCAATTTTACTATTATGTTAAGCTGTAAGTTTTGTGCTTTGTTACAGCGTTCGTCATCCTTGCCTACTGAGTGCTTTAGTCTCATCCCATTTGCTATGATGCTAATAACGTTGTCCATCCCTCACATTTCCTCTATCTCCTTCTGGCAGCATTGACCTGGTAACTCTTCTCTGTAAAATATAGGCAGTTCCCTTCTCGCCCTCTTCTTTGACATATACATATATCATCATAAAAATCCAGATCTATTAATAAAACGTAGGCCTTAGCTCTAGTGAGGGTCTCTATTATTTATCCTTTATATTGAAACTCAAATTCCAAGTAGACTGTAATTGATGTGTCTTTCCCTCTGGCTTTGACCACGGGCCCCAGCTGTTCTCACACAAAGCTTCTCTGCCCACTTGGAAGCCCTCTCTACTTCCCAAGGCATCCAGTTGTGTTCACGTGGGCCCTTCCATCCACTCTGGTTAAATGTCCCTCCTCACTGCTTCCTTTGTCTTATTGCCCACACTCGTCTTTATGACTTTCTTCCTCTTAAACTTTGACATATAGCATGGCATGCCATCCACAAGCTGGTCCTTTGCATTCCTCTCTTCGAAATCATCCAGAAACCCCACCTATTCCAAGAAACCATCTGGTTCCTGCCCTTCTCCCTGACCCCCTGCACTGTTGGCTGTGTGTTGTCCTCTGTCCCTGGGGCCTATAGACTATAAGTGAGTGCCCTTAGGGACGAGGCTTTGTTCTTTGTTTGAAACAGCCTTTTTTATTCTAAAGTTTTGTGTTCATTTTTGTTTCCATAGAAATATRAATTCCAGCAAACACATAATCAAATGAATTCCAAAAATAGTTACTTGTGTTGTTATGATTTTAAGCTTTATGGCACATATTTTCAAAGAACAATACAGCAAGACAGAAATTGAATTTTCAAAAGAAGAGCTGATGTGTAGAATTTCACATCAGGCACACTGACAGCTAAATTCATGAATTGAAAAACTGACAACGATATTGCTTATTGTTAAAAAGGTTGTAAAGTGACAAAACTTTGAATTTTTCTTTAGTAGTTGTTTTAAAATTTTATAATTTGGCTTAAATTATCAGGGTTTTAAAAATTGTCTCTCAGGAGCTCCTTTTGAATTCTTTTTTCCCCTCACTTTCCCASAGGACACCAAGCTTCTAATGTGTGTTTTGAATATTTTATAATTTGGATTATATTGTACATATCCATCTGCAAAATGCTTTTTCACCTGATGTTTTTGGAAACTTAACTATGTTGAATTACATACATCCAATGCATTTATTTTAACTGCTGAATTTCACTTATTAACCCATTCTACTATGTTTTTTGTTTTTTTTTTTTTTTTGGTACCAGGGATTGAACTCAGGGACACTCAATCACTGARCCACATCCCCAGCCCTATTTATTTTATTTAGAGACAGGGTCTCACTGAGCTGCTTAGAGCTTGCTTTTGCTGAGGCTGRCTTTGAACTCATGATCCTGACTGGTGGATTTTCTTAATGCATATGTCCAATGTCTCCCCTTCATTGTCCTTTCCTCTGCCCACCTGTTCATTATTGACTAAGCTAACTAACAACTGTCTAAAGCCCACTTACATTTCACAAAATTATGACTTTAAAATGAATGTTTTGATGCCAAAGAATAAATTCACACATGTATAAGGCTGGAAAAAATGGCAGAAAGGAAAATACACAATTATGTATTCTGCCTTAGTCTTTGTAAGTAAAAGTAAGGACATTCTCATTATGACTGATTAAGTTTGTAGCTAAATTATAGAGAGTATAATGCTGATCAAAGAAACAAAAGATAAAGCACAGAATGCAATAGGATAAAGATCCTAGAAAGCATAGAGTAATTTTTAATGTTAGTGCCCTTCATGTCTCCTATTATTACATGGCTGAGAGTGCTCCTTGGGTGGTTGGCTGGCAGGCTTTATTGCTTTTACAAGGTTAAAAAGGCTCAATTGCTATTCTACTTGGAAATTGCATATCCCATAGGGAATAATTAAGACTAATAAGAAGCTGGAAGCAGAACCATTAATTGAGTTAATGTTTCATTCTTTTTTCCCTCCTAGGATATTTTATTTGAAAAGAAGGTAAGCACCACATGCTTTGATTACTATGAATGACTCTGAAAGCTTGCATTATCAGATCAGCATTATAATTCACATTAGAAGCTTAGGTGTGACTAAACAAAAATGCTTAATTCTTTTCGAACCACTCTCTTTTGAAATAGTCATCTGATTTTTCTGCTACTCTATCCACTGTAGGTTGAACAATTTAGGAAAAGTAGGGACTATTTAATATGATTAAAAATAATTTTAGAAATCAGTGATAACCAAATGGCATAGTTTTTGCTTACTTTGACATGGCTTCTTTTATTCTAAACTCATCTCTGACATCAGCTACTCATGGAGTTCCTGTACTTGGGGAGATGTTCCCAGTATTGGCTAGCTTATGGTTAGTGCTAAGAAAAAAGAGCTTAGAATCATCCCCTGCTGCTGGCTGGTTGACTATAAGCTCATTGTCTTTCCTATTGTAGAGAAAATTGAGCCTCATGATGGCAACTAGGGCATAGGACAATGGAAGCTGGCCAACAGCAATAGATTGGATAGGATATTGCACAACAGATATTATGAGTTTGCTGAGGATTCCTGAACAACGTGGGCATTTCTTAAAAGAAAGAGTTTGGAACATTTGAACTTTTTTCAATAAACTGCTTAACATCAGGACATTTACAGTTATCATTGCATAAGATAATAGAAGTCAACCAAACCTTGTAAAATATCAGGTTTCATTGAATTATGCACAGATACAACATTTTTTATGTCCCATCAATAAAGGAAACATCTTYGCCCATTAAACAGTGATACAAATGCCTTCTCATCAATTGCAACTTTTATTTTACATTTATGGAAAGAATCCTTTTACATTTATTTAGATACAGACTTTTAAATCCTGTATTACTTTTGTGCATATATATGGAGAAAAATATAAGCAAAATAAATTGTGTTTTTTTTTTTCCCTAAAACTTCACCTCAGTGTCTAAATCTTGAGTCAATGCCCTTGTTTTTCCACATAATCCTGGCCTCTGGACCATCAAAACCATTGTCAATGAAGCATGTTTTTTGGTGTTCTCTGGCATTTTCTTTCATTTCATTCTGTAAGCCTTGAAGTGTATGTGCAGAAAACAAATAYTGTGTCATATTTGACCTGTTACTATGCTAAGACTCATTTTGATTTCAGAGGTGTTAATATGAGGAAAAATGTGCTTCTTAGGATTGACAAAATGTGGTATACGTTAAATGTTTTCTTTTGCTGAGTAAAGGAGAACTCAATATTTGTCTATAATGAAGCCGTCATGTGTTATATAGAAGAGTAGAGCAGATATTCCAAAAGTCCACTGAAAATGTTTATTTTCCTATTTTAATTGGCATCTATAAATCTTTGACAGAATATCTATTTTATTTAACCAYAGCAAAGTTTAATAATACTTTAGTAGTTGGCTCTTAATCGACCTGAGTTTGCCTGGAATAATTTAATAGAGCAAAATCTCCATGAATTTGCAAGGTCAGCTTTCTCTAAGGGAGTGTTCCAGTTGTGTATTGGATAATATTTGAAATGCTATCCTAACTATATTTCAACTGTGTGCTTAATACTGTGTTTCATTATTGATTTAGTGTGAACGCAAGATCTGTGAATGTGAGAAGGGGGATCCAGGCGAACCAGGGCCTCCTGTGAGTATACTATTACTTCAGACTTGAGGCTGATGAAGACGGTGATGGCACAGTGATGAAATTGCTTTCAGAAAGGGCTTTTCAGTGTCATTGGTTATTGGATAATGGGGGCCCATGATTTCTGAATAATGAAGTGAAAATACAGAAAACAATAATACAGGTCATCAGTACTTTAGGAAAGCTTTGTTTTACTAGAAGCAAGGACACAGTCCTCTTGGGAAGCTCTTGCCTTCACAGCAATGCAGCAACAACTTAGTGTGGTCTCCTGGAGAGGCCAGTAGGGCATTTTGGGAGATTAGGTAAATTCTGTCAAATGGAAACAATCACTGGGCAACCAAAGATAAATGGTGGGATTTAGTATGACGATTCGATATCTGATACCATCGTCCATTCTAGCCTAGGATCAAYAGTGCCATCTGTATAGTTGGAAACCATTTGAAATGACACTAAGACTGCTAGAGATGCTGAATATTTTTCTGACTGATATCAGAAAGCATCCAAGCTGCTTATCACACATTTCATTTATTGATGGGATTGCAAACTTTATCCTTAGAGTTCAGAAGCCTGGGGAGATGTTTCACAAAATACATGGATTCGATTTTGAACTAATGCTCCTATTTGGGGGTGGGGAGGGGAATGCATTTTGTGAATATCTGAGAATATGACACATTTTACCTTGAGACTTGGTTCCAAAGCTTGTTCCTTTTCAAATCAGTCTACCACTGAAGGTGTTAAGAAGAAGTGAACTTGTTTATCCCCACAACCCCAATATAAAGTTGCCAGAGGAAAGGATATTCAATTATGTTTTAAAATGAACAGTGCTAGTAAGAAAGTTTACAGTTGCTAAGCTAAGCTGACAATTTCAGCCACTTAGGTTTTAATAGGGGTAAACCATAGAGCTATGCTGTTTAATATTTATTAAACTCMCCCAAAACAGTTTTCAGAAAAGCAACATTTTGGGTGGCTTGAGCCTAGTAAAACAAAGTGCTTTTCTGGAACAGGATTGGGGAGCTCCCTTCTCCTATCTTTTGAGGTTGTCCCCTGTATATCAGAACCTCTGTGACCAAAGACAAGCAAGCTGGTCTGGTTCTTTCAAAAGTGACTCAGAGGTGGGGGACTATAGTGGTCCACAATTAAGTGAGGATAGGAATAACTCCTATATTTTTGCCTGTTCAGTCATTCCTTTTAATCTTTGAGTTTGATTTTGTTTACAAAGCAACTGAAAAGTAATTATTTGGGGAARAAGTATTGTTGGGAAGAAAGAGATATTATCCTTTTAAACAATTGCAGAATTTGTCCATCYGAGACAGTACAGTAGTAAAAGGGAGAAAAGAATCGAATCTCTGTGAAGGTTTTATAATCTTCCTTTGTTTTGTGGGATGTGGCAGATCATAAATTATGATAAAGAAAACTAATAGAATACTTGCTCAAAATAATTTTTTCTCTCTTTGCCTTCAGGGTAGACATGGAAACCCAGGTATTAAAGGTGAGCAAGGACCAAAAGGAAATCCGGTAAATGAATAGACTGCTTTCTTTTAAATCAGTGTATATCTGTCTAGACTTATTTAAAGAATAAACATAAAGAAAATAAAGAGCATTGCAATATATGTCAAGAATCTGATGAGTTTTAAGAAGAATATAGGACATTGACTTCCTGTATTATCTATCTTGTTTTTGTTTGCTTGCTTTTACAAATTCTAAATAGAATATGAAAGTTTTAGAYTGTAAGTTTAGAAAATCTAGGGACATTAGCCAAGCAGAATTTGTTACTTGAATAATAATGGCCCAAATTAATTAGGACAATGTTTCKTGAACCACTAATACATGTGCCACATCAGATTCACATTGGCACTTGTGGTTTTTATGGATCTGCATTATGGATAACTAACCTATACCAGATGTTTTCTCTGTCCTAGAACATCATCTGTCATTTCTCTAATTCTTTTTTTTTTTTAAAAAAATGTGTATACCTATCCAAAAAAKCACAGATTAAAAAAATTACCTATTTATATTACTGTTGGGACAAAAGTGTTCTAAATTCAAGAAAGACTGAAGGAATCACAAAGAGAGAGAATAGAAAATATAACTATGTGAAAACTTAAGGCAAAATTCTGTACAGTGAAAAATAATAGTTAAAATGTGAAGACACCGAATACAAGGGACATTGGGTTAACTTCTATAGTACATAAAAAACTTGTAAAACTTATGAGAAAATATAAAGTTTTTAATAATTGAGTGAGCAAAGGACACAMTTTTCAAGAGAGGACATAAAACCAATAAAGAAAAAAATAGAAAAAAATTTAATTTTATTAGGTAATGAAAGAAACTGAAATAAAGACAATGAGATACCCTTTAACACTAATAATTCACATCTTAAAAACTTGGAATCCAGAGGCTCCTTAGAAGTAGTTTTYTAGTTCACCTAGTTTGTTTTTGGGGTGTTTTGAATTTTAAGAACATTTCTTTTCTTATAGCAACTAACATGGCAATTTTAAAGTAATAACTAATGATAGTGATATGGTAGTGAAGCCGGTTTGCTCTTCATTGCAAAGATAACTTGGCACAGATATTTTGTAATAAATTGGGCAATAAAGAGGAGACATTCAAATACTTGAAATTTTGACTCAATCCTATTTCTGAGAATACTTTTAGGAAAGTATGAAAAATATAATGTTATATGCATGAAAGTATTTTTGGCAATTGCTTGCTTGCCAAGGAAAGGGAATGTATTGCATCTTTGGTTCATTCTAAAACACACACACACACACACACACACACACACACACACACACACACCCTATATTCACTCATATTATGTAGGCTTGAATTGATGCCATCATGCTGTTTGTTGTTGTTTTAAGTACCTGTTATAAGTTAATGTGTACCAGTCATGTATTTAGTTTGTAATTTCTTGCTCCATAATTTATTTTCCTAAATATTGCTGACATCAACCAATCACTCCTAAATACATTTTGGAAAACATTCCATAGCCCCTTGGAGAAAAGCAAGGGTGTCCAGCTCAGAGCAAATACAACGCTCTATTTGAGAAAAAAATTACCATGTTGTGAAACTGGGATGTGTCCTAAGCTGCAAAAATGTATCTGAATCCTGTATATTTAGCTTTATTCTCAAAGGGCAAAGTTTATCTGAGCTGCTCTTTTCTTCCTCATATTGTATGTGATAGTGCCAATAGTAAAGTCTTAAGATTTTTCCTAACTGGGTTAACCTATTAGTCTGAGACTTCTGAATTGAATGCATTCATTCAACTGAGCAATAATCACTCTGCAAGCCTGTGGAATTTTGACTGATTTTTGTTTGTTGTAGGGTGATGCTCAAAAAGGAGAAACTGGAGAAAGAGGTCCTGGGGTATGTACACAACTGGAATGCCTTCCTGTGGAAGTGATCTYGGGATGCTAACCTTCTGGGATTGACCATTTTGATCCCCTCAGGAGGGGACTTTCACCTACCTKTGCTCTGATGGCTCAGACAGGCAATTAGACATATATGACCTTGGGAAATGGAAATGTGAGGAGAACATACTTTGATGGAACCAGGGGTTTTCAACCCTGTGACAGTCCCTGAAGCTTAACTGGACAATTGTGAAAGGCTCAAATGACAAAAGCATTTTGCTTTATTTCTTGTGTCCTTTTTCATGATGAAGAATAAGTTGAGTTTCAATGTCATAATAATTACATGGTCTAAACTATGCTGTTGTCAATACAATCTACAAACAAAATAACATTTATCATTTTAGTTGATTTCTTATCTCCCAAACTAAAAGATAACAAAGATTGCTTGACAGATAATATAGTGCATGTCTTATTTTTCATTTTCCTGAGCATTTTGGTAAGGGTAGCAAATAGCAGAGAAAGTGAAAAAAAGGAGGCCTTGTTGTGTGGTGCCTCTCTGCTTGTCCCCTTGGGTATAAGCCCTGGGCTCAGACCAAGAGATTTAAGTACTGTTCTCTTGGTATTTTTAATTAACTTTGTGAAAGAATCTGATAGAAACTCTGACAGTCTCATTAAGCATTCATTCAGAAATTTGTGTTATTTTATTCAGGAAACATTTCTTAGGATTCTTATAGATATATGCAGACTAGTAATAAAAATAAAAGTATATTTTTAAAAAAGCTTATTGTGTCTTAGGAGAGATAAGATATTCCAAATAGCTACAGTATGAAACAGAATATCAAAATATTGTTAAAAGGTCATGAACAGGTACTGAGAGGAAACTGGAGTCATCTAGGTATATTTTACAGGATGATTCCTGAAGATATAAGGCTGCGACAGGCAAAGATAGGACAGGTTGGGGAAGAGACAGGCAGATGGAGAGAAAGCCATGAACACCAATCTGAGAGAGGATACTGATGGGGAATGGAGATGGGTTACTTGTCAGACTTAGTGTGAAGGGTGGATTGGACAAAATGCCCAATCCTGCTGCAAGGTCTGGGGTTTACTAGGTGATGAGAAGCCCCTGAAATTTTAATGAGGTACAATGACCCAAAAGCTGTGTAATGGGGTGATTAATCTAATGAGACGCTAAAAAGGAGAAGGAGAAGCACTTAGAAGAAGGTCTGCTACTGTAGTGGACAGGAGAGTTAACACAGACATTGGCTCAATCTGCTCTGGCCAGTATGAAAACCACCAATCAAATGTGGCTATCGAGCCCTTGACACATGGCTACTCTGAATTGAGGTGTGCTGTAGGAGTAAAATATACATTGCATTTTAGAGCCTTAGTTCAAAAAATTATCTCCTTGGTAATTTTTATATTGATTAAATATTAAAATGACAGTACTTTGAACCTGTTGGTATAAACAAAATATAATATTAATTCCACCTCCTTATTTTTACATTTAAAATGTGACTATTAGGACATTTAATATTATATATGTAGTTCACATTTTTGGCTTGCATTACATTAAACAATATCAGGTTACAGCAAGGACAAAATAGAAAAGAAGAATATTGTGAGAATCCATGAAGTCGTGGAAATGACCACATATGTTGACTAACTCTAACTCATATATTCATCAAATATTTATTGAGCACTTGCTATATGCCAGGCACTCTGTTAGGTGCTGGGGATTCAGGCGTGAGTAAGACAGTCCCTGTCTTAGCAAGTGTTTCAGTGAGGTAAACAAGAAATAGCCAACAAATAGATAATTTCAGTCAGAGAAGTACTATGAAAATATRAAACAAGGCAAGGAAAGTAGTCTAAGAAGAAGGAGCAGAGACAAAGGCCCAGAGATAGGAACATGYGTGGTAGACTCAAGAAATGGAAAGAACCCCAGAACATGTTAATGAGTGATGGGCRACAAGGCCTTAGAGTTAGGCAGGGGCTAATCATATAGGACCTTGCAGGCCAGGATCAGAAGAGTGGGTTTAAAGTACAGCAGGAAGTGGTTGCAGAATTTTGAACAGGTTGGATTAAAGGGATATAATGGTAAAACAAGGAGAGAAAAAACAAATGATTATAAAATTTTGATTCTGTGTGATTTGAAATGTGATGGTATCATTACTAGAAATAGGAAAATGAGAAAATTTGCAGTTTGGGTGCCATTTTGGATATTATAAATTTGACTATATAAAAACTAGTAATTAAGATGCCCTGAATAAAAGAAGTAAGTTAAAAAAAAAAGAGCTGATATAACAACCAAACAGTAAATTGACCATGATTTTCAGAAAGAAAACAGGAGGAGAAAGAAAGAGAGAAAGAAAGAAAGACAAGACTACTTAAAAGCAATATTTCTTTATTTTGTAAGGCTATATGGCTCCTTCCAAAATATAATCTTAACTCTTTTAATATAAAGTAATGACAGAATTATAAATATGGATGTGTGTTATAATGGGTGGAGAGTGCCCTAAGGTTCCTGAGATTAGAAGAACAGGCTTTTTTAGCATGAATGGTTTTAATAGGAATTCCATTATAGGTGGTTATCTATAATATGACCTTTAATTTTAAGTACACTCCTAAAAATTAAACAACATGAACAAATAAATATTTCTAAACTGGATTAAATTGTAGTTTCATCATGTCTTCCACTAATTCTACTTTTATGTTCTATTCCTCAGGGACCACTCATTTGGAAAGAAGGTTTATTTCCTTAATGAAGTTTCCTTTTGTTAAAAAGTCATAACAGGACAAAATGTTGTAGTCTGACTCACATGTAACAGCAATAATAGCTTGTTTATGCCATTGGTTTCTCCAGCTTGGTTTAAATATGCCATATAATTTTGTTTTTGTGCTTGAAAAATATAGTCGTATGAAAGAGTGTGAAATCCAATTTGGAAAAGATTAATTTTGCTTAGAGTGGATAGCTTCCTGGTTCATTTAATATTCAATACTGTATCACTTAAAGGGCTTATGGGTAGAGTCACAGTGGAGAAGGCTGTATGGGATTTCCAGGACTGACTCAGAAGACAGCAGAGGTGCTGGCCCCRTGTCCAGCTTGATATAAAAGACAATAAGTTAAAAGGCCACTGTCTCATCAGGTTGATAGAGGAACCATTCATTTTCTCAATGTTATATATTTGAAACCAAATTTGAAAGGAGGGCCATAATAGATACAGATATTTACCTATATTCCAAAGGCCATTATCTCAGCTCATTTTCAAAGCCAATTTCTCTAATGGCCTCTGAGAGACATTCTCAGCTGCCATAGTTCACAGTTTAAAAGTAAATATAACAATTTTGAAAGAACTGTTATGGGTCATCACTTTTACAATGACTTTCAGTATAGCTTCTCTCCTTGAGTTTGACGCCAAAGGGTAAGAGATTCGGGTTGGAAAAAAAATGTTTGAAATAGAATAGAAATAGTAGGGAAACATAGGTTCTTTCCTTCTCAATAAATGCGTACTTCCCAAGCATAAAGTAAAAGAGTTCACATGTGTATTATCTTATTTTCTAAGACTGCATAGATATGTATAGGTATGTTTTTATTATACCTTATATATGAAAAACATCTAACTCTTCCTCTAATTCTGCTTTATCATGGTTTACTTTTTTACTTATTTTTTAACTAGGGAATTCCTGGATACAAGGGTGACAAGGTAAGAATTGTCTATGGGTTCCATTTGACCTCCCCACTTCCCACAGAGTCTGCAGGGTGAAAAGACTGCTCCTCTTCTAGATCGTATTTTGAGTAACCAATACCCCAGAAATTCCTGCAAAATGGCCCAAACCTGCTTGGAGGGCACCCATAAACATTACATAAAATCATTCCTGTATTCTATTTTCTTCCCAAGCCTGAGAGGGGAACAAGGGGTGGCTGTTTCTAGGGTCAGGAGGAATCAAGATATGTACTTAGTATCTATAAGTCCTTGAACAACTCAAGATCTCTGGTAATACAGTCCTGTCTAATTGGCAGGGTGGTTGGAGAATAAATGGAATAATGGGTGTGATAATGTATTGTAAATTGCTTGCAAGACTATCAATGTAAGGTTCAATTATGAAGAGGCAAGGAAAAATCTTAACATAGGAAAGTTGATTTTTTATAATTATAAAATTATAAATTTATCCTATATACAGCTGAGTAAAATATGAATTCCCCCATCTTGATTGAAACAATGAGGTAGTTATCAACACCAGAAAGCTCTACACATGCACGTGCACGTGCACACACACCCACATAGATTTAAAGATTCATATAACCTTCTGGAGAGTTTTAGATTCACTGAAAGAGTTCTCACTTGGAAAATACAGTTTTTCAGAGAAAAGTGACTCTGAACCTTCGACATTCAAACCAGAATTTCACTAGGAGAAGCAGCATCAGAAATCCAAGGCTAGGAACAGAGCTAATCTGTTTATAGTTTTCTGAAGTACTTGCTCCCTAGAACTATATAATTGTGACCATTCCACAGGGACTAATGATCCTACCAAAAAAAGAAAACGCCTTTCTGAGGCAAATAACACGAATACAATATTTTCATTGATGGGAATCTGCCCCCCAAACAAATGCTGTTCCTCAGGACCCTAGAGCTAACAAATTTGTCTGGACAAATGGAATGTGAATTCTAGCCAAAAGGATTTTTGAATGTATTTTTGGTACTTTTCTGTTTTATATTTTAGTGGTTGACTCATTTTGTTTCCATCTAACATTACTAAATTAATTGCTTTCTAATTGGGTCTTTGAGAATGATTTTCTATTTACATTCAGAAGTTAATGTTCAGCTTGTTCTGAGTGAAGACTCAGTTTTCCCTAAGTTAGTCATGTTCAGCCAGAGGAAGGAGAATTTGTGGTCCATTTGTGTGCCATGTGTCAAAATGCATTCTACTGTCATAGAAAACTAATTAAAACAAATTAAAAAATAAAATAAAATAAAAGTTGAAAAAAAATGATGTAGAGAGAAAGCAGATTGCTTTTTAACAGATAGCTGACTCAAAGAATTACACCGTTTTCTTTTATGCTCCTGATGTCAGTGAAACTCCAGGTTGACCTTGGGTAGAAATGCCAGGTCAACGGAAATAACTTATATCCCATGATAAGGTGCCCTGTTTGGCTATGGTGACTGATACATGAATCTGGAAGTCTTACGGACTCAAGTCTGTGATTATAGGCAAAGAATTTAATCTTTCTGAGTTTCATATTCCTTATATATGATTGGATATATGGATATATGTGGATATATACATATATCTTATATATGTACATTATGTACTGTGCAAGGTGATATACTTATGGAGACAGCAATCATGTAAAGGCTTTGGCACACACTTTGCACCCATAATTGGTGATTACAATTGTTATTTCCTTCCTTAGGGGAGTGCTATTCTACATGTGGTCTTCAGGCTGGCTGCCAGTCTCGTTAATGTTTGCTGGTAGCAATGAGAAAAAGCTTAAACCAGAATATAAGTTTACTGTATTACTATCAACACTGTTAAATTCAGCTGACAGTTATTTCCCATGACACAACTTCCTTGATGAAGGAAGCAATGCATTGAATTACATTCTGGTGCAATTTCCTTATGTTAATAGTGACACACCAAGTAGCATGTCCTAGAACAGCACATAGATAACAAAATTGCAGCAGAAGCAGAAATTAATATTGAAGGCACTGGGTTAGGAGATAGCTAGCATGTAGGTGTAAGTAAAACTTTTAATCTCTCCAATTGTTCCCTTTTCYTAAAAATAAGAATTGATTTGAGACTCAGAGTAAATATATATGAAAGCATTTGAAAATGCTAACATTTTATAAGTAAGAGATTATTTATTATGATTATGAAAGTTTAGTCATTTTTCTAATTGGATGTGACTTTTTACTTTTAACTCCTAGAAGTCTTCAAAGTCTGATATGATGAGTTAGTATTCAGAGATCCTAATTCTCATCTGGGCAAACCACTTAACCTTTTTTAAAATAAATATTTACTTTTATTTTAAAATAATTTTGATTGACAAACATTTTATAGTTTGTAAAATACAATATGTTGTTTTGAAATATGTATGCATTGTGAAATGGTTAGATTGAACTAATGAACTTATGTATTACCTAACATAGTTACCACTTTGTGTATGTGTGTGTGTGTATGTGGGTGATGAGAACACTTAAAAATGCGCTCTTCTAATACTTTTCAAGAACACAAGATGTCACCATGTTGTGCAATGGGTCTTTTGTACTTATTGCTCCTCTCTAATTGAAATTTTATATCCTTTGAGCAATTTCTCCCAAACTCCAACCTGTTACCCCTGGTAACCACCATTYTACTCTCTGCCTCCGTGAGTTCAACCTTTTTAGGTTYCCCATAGAAGTGAAATCATGAAGCAGTTTTCTTTCTGTGTGGCTAATTTCATTTAACTTATGTCCCCTAGTTTCATCCATATTATCATGAATGATAGGATTTCCATTTTGCAGGCTAAGTAGTGTTCCATTATGTATATAGACCACATTTTCTGAATCTTTTTGAATTGCAAATTTTCAGTCTGTAAAACTGGATTAATAATATCTATATCAGACAGGTAATGTCATAAATGTCTGTTAAAACCATTAATAATTTCTAAAGCATAATTTCAATGTTAGTTTTTTTAATCAACATTCTAGAGAAGAGAGTAGAGTAGAGCATAATAATGGAAAATATGTAGCATGCTCACTGCTATGCCCCTGTCTCTCAGCTGACCTTGCTCACTTATCACGGTACCCTTCTAATACATGGTGGATGATCAGTTACTTTCCTTTTAATTTCATTCCTCTAACAATATGTCACAACTCATTAGGTGGCATCACTGGTTTGATCCTGTCAAGTTAAGGACAACTGATGGAGAAAGGTTTTCAGAGTTCAATGCCCATGCAAATCTCAGTATTGAGGATAAAATTGTAGAGAATTTGTGTGGAGCGCTCATGTCATAAGATTTTGCTGGGAATCTTAAGAAAAATCCTACTCTTGACTGTCTGTAAATGTCCTCTTATTCACTTTATGCATTTATTTTTTAGGGTGAACCTGGAGAATGTGGTAAACCAGGAATAAAAGGTGACAAAGTAAGGAGGATGTTTTATAAATATTAACAGCTGTSATGCCTTTTGGTCTGTTTTCTTAAGAGGAAATTCCTGGGGTGAATTATGTGGCTCTAAAAGAGATGGAGAATCAATGGATCAATTTTCACATATGTGGAACATGAAGTAGCAAACAAAAGGAGGCCTAACCTAGGGARTGAAGGCCCAATGCCTTTCTTATAGGGCATTAAGACTTTGTTCTGCAATACCTTAACATTTGAGGTCAGATCTACACAAAGTCATGGTGGGAAGAATGAGATAACCAGTAAAGTCAATTCAAACTCCAACAYTGCATTTTAATCTATTTTCTCTCTAGATGTAAACACTGAGATCAGACACTTTYCAAAGAGTGAAGAACTCTGTTAAATTAGTGAAATAGTTAAAAACAGTTTGGAAGAACTAAGCATGGATAGTGGCTTGAAATTTTGAATTTATTTTAGCTAAAATAAAAACACCGATGAAGAATTTAAACTAGAGACAGTATTCAGTATGTTAAAAAGTTTCTTAATAGAACAAGAATATAGAAAATATTAAAAAACATAACGATAAAAGATCCAAGAAAGTACAGAGTAAAACTAAATAGCTTTCATTATCAGTAAGAACTATTAACAATAGGCCCCCAAGATACTAACTTTTAAAATATCTTTAATTATGGGAGGAARATAAGGAGAAAAAGTAAAGCAGAAAGTTAAAAGAAGAGGATACAGTAATGACACCGGTCCATGGAATTAAACACTTAAAATAGTTTGAGACTCCCTGGAAGCTTTTAAACTACTATAGAGTTAAAGGTCAGGTGGATCTGCAAAGTGTAGTAATTATCTCTGGGCAAAATGAAAAGTTTAATGATGAGGTTCTTCCTAGAGGACAACTGAAAAATGTGAGATGAACATGGGGTCATGGAAATACAGAAGAAAGGACACTCAGGACAAAAACCAAAGTCAAACATTACCTGGAAAAACATGAATTAAAAATGGTGGACAAATAATTAATATATTTTCATTGAGTAAGATGCYAGATATTATGTATTTCATTATTTTCTGTACCAAAAAGAAAGAAAATACTGCCAATCTGATGTGATTGTATAAATATATGATGTGATTGACTAAGAATCTCCAATGTTAGAGATCCAAATATATGAAAAAAATGTGTCTTATGTTCAATGAAATAGGGTCCTTGATACAAAGAGTTCACACAAATTTATAAGAAAATTTATAAGAAAAATATATGAAGAGCATGAAGAGATACAAAAGAGAAATGAGAAAAATGTCCAAGCATAGTAGCTTTCAGATAAATGAAATTAAGACATTAAAATGTTATTTCACAAATCAGATTAGCAAACAATGAACTAGTATATGATATTCAGTCTTCATGGGTATTCTATAAGATAAAGATGTGCTTTCTATATTCAGGTGATAGGAATGGACAACAAACTTCACAGAGGAAGTTTCTTTCTATATGTGGTAGGAGAGGCAAGGGAGAGTGATGCAGAACCCTAAATGTGTTTCTAGTCTCTGCCTCAGTTTATCTTCTTCTAGGAAACTATTCTTAGGAATGAATCAGAAGTTGGACAAAAATTTGTACACAGAGATGGTTGTTATACTACTACTTAAAATAGCAATCATAAATACTTCAATGTCAAAATGAGGCAGATGAGTAAGTAAATTGATAGTTCTCTATTCATAACAAATGGGAATCTGGGAAAGGAGAAATTAGATATTATTCGTATAATATCTAAAATAACAGTATTTTGCTAAGTTCCATGTCTTGAAGAGGGACAAAAGAGCAATCTAGATACAATGATAACTCACTAAATTGTTAACTAGTGACATTCCTTATTGGAAGGAAACTATTCTACCAAGCATGCTGCCTTCTAAAGGATTTTGTGAAGTAATTGCTTTACTCTGATCAAAATGTCAATGTGTAGGCTAAAAACTGACATGTACAATTGGATTTTCATGGAATTTGTTTATTAAGACAAAGTCTGACCTGAGGTCTCTTGTTATATAATCATTTCAACTTGTTGGCTTTGGTGTTTGGATAACCAGGGAAGACTGGCTGTTGCCACATGACATTCCCTTTCCTCCCACCTAAAATAACTGCCCTTAGGAGATAGATATTTATAGATACTTACGATTAATTTTATTACACAGGGATCTCCAGGGCCATCTGGACCACAAGGACCAAAAGGACTTCAGGTAAGGTTACTAAAACCAGATCTAGGTTTGGATTAGAATCACCTGGGAAACTTTTTAAAAAAATCCCTTTACCCACTTGTACCCTCTTCCAATTAAATCAGAATGTCTGCAGATTGGAACCAGATATCAATATTTTTAAAGATCCCCAGATGATTCCAATTTTTCAGCAAAGTTTGAAAACAACTTTCCTAATGTTTTGATTAGCTAACTCAGGCTCCCTAAAGACAGGTACTGGCCAGCAAATCTACTTACTGAGCACCTTAAGGAGATGAAAATAATTCAGAGTATTTGCATTGCTGCTATAATTGGAAGAGTTGTGCTTTTCTCTAAATTATAATATTTGTATTTTTCCATTACTATAAGTACTTAGTCCTCTATAATATGGAATGATCATTTAAGGAATTTGTTTAATTTAGACAAATTGCATGGATTTCAGAAAATAATCTGAATTTGTTTTCCAGCCTAGGGACTTGTTTCTTCTAAAGTTACACTGAGTGTATATATGTGTGTGAAGTGTTAATTTTAACTTTTCAGAAAGTTTGCTGAAAGTTGTACTTTTACCAAAGGTTTCCTACATAGAATCTAGTTAGCCAACAACTTCTTTGCTTTGGCCTGAAATTGTCAGAGCAAGCCAGTATTTCTGGTTATTGGAAATGATTAATTTCAATTATATGGCTTAGATACTAAAAAAAAAATTGCTTAATAGGAAAGAAAAAATTTTTTTTCAAAGTCTGGCATGGGAATAAGTTTAGAAACACAGGTTTAGGTAACAAATACCTCATTAATAAGATGTTTTCTCTCAGCATATGTGCTATTTTAGAAGCTGTTCATTCAACTCGGAATTTTACGTCATTCGGTTTCTTGATGAATCTGATGCCAATGTAACTCTGAGCTATATGGTCTGACTTCTAACTCCAGGATATCTAGGAACCTTAAAGAAAGGCTCATTCTTGGTTAGCCTTTTGTACACAGAACTAATTCTTTGTTTTCATCTTGGAGCAGGGCTTTGGTGGACCTCCAGGAGATCCAGGCCCAAAGGGATTTCAGGGCAATAAGGTAATCTTACCCTGTGATTAGAGACAGGCAGAGTGCCTTCCACCCCGTGGCTTTATGGTAACGCATGTTTTTATTAGACTGACATCAATGGCCTCTTTGAGGAAGCATCTTTGGAAATACTTAATAACCTGCAGGTGTACACACAGAATCAATCAAGTATATGCAGGAAGCCAGTGGCATAGCTTTATCATTTATTAGTCTATTACTCAAGGGGGACATTGTTAAACATAAACCATTATCTAGATTCTTCACCGTATTGTTTTCCTACTCCTGTCCTTTAGTCATTTTATGGCTCACTAGAAACTAAAAAACACTACAAAATAACACAATTCAAATATTCTCTTGTCCACATACAATGCCATCTTAGTATACAGTTTATTAAGGAATGGAGCTTATCTGTTATACCAACAGAGATTAAGCAACCACAACTATCAGTGCCCTGCTTGTAATGTCACCCATTGATAATAAGGCAAGACAGACAGGGAGGGGTTTAGTGAGAACTAAATACAAAGCAAGGATATCAAGAAGGGTCTATAAAAGACCTGGTTATAAGATTCCCTTTCCCAAAAGAGTGACTTTGATTTGTTAAAAGCAATCCTTTTGGTTTCTTTTTAACTGTTCTCAATGCTTAGTACATTTCACAGATGTAGTAAATATTCCAAAAAATGGTGTTGCCTTCGTGACTGAAGTTGTGTAGAATTTGTAGCGATTGTTAGCTACAGAAGCTGCTCTCCCAACTGACCCTAGAAAAAGCTAATCTTTTAAGGGTGCAATATTGGACTTAAGTTGTAGGAGCAGTTGGGCTATTTAAGTGTTAACTTTTCAGAGAGAAGAAAGGGAGTGACAAGTAYAGTATTTTAATGAGATAATGACAGTTTGAGATTTCCCAGGCTACTTTTAATTGACAAATTAAAATAGAATGGGCTTCTCAGAGGGAGCAGGCTCAAGCTTCATCTGGGGAGATTGTCTTTTCCAGTGCTTGCCCCTGATTAATTTTCTCTGGGGGAAAGAAATGCCTTGTTGAATACTGAGTAGAAGTTCTCCTGAAATTGCTTTGACTATAGGTGAAATCCCACAGCATGCAAAAGATCTATATTTTGATAGCACGTGCATGTTTCTAGAATTCATTGGTTACCTAAGATGATAATGTTCATGTTTGTGAAATAGAGGCTTAAAATCAGGGATCAGAGCAGGAGATTGTAACAGCGATAGAATTATAGAAAGTTTGAGCCATAAATGATTTTAGAGATCATACCAGCCCAATACTTTTATTTTGGAAATAAGAAATAAAGCCTGGAGATCAAAGGCTTGCCTTAGAAACACAGGCCACTCCATCAGCTCCTGAGGCTCTGGGGAGGTGCTGGGCTGGGAGCAGTGTGTGTGTGCGGTAATGGTGACTGTGCAACAGTGGTGATGAGGACAGGTCCACAGAAAGCTGGCATCATGTGATTATATCTCTTTGTGTTTAATTGACTTACTTACTACTTAGGTGGTTTTTTAAAAATATTTTTATAGTTGTAGATGGGTATAATATTTTCATTTTATTTATTTATTTTTATGTGGTGCTGGGGATTGAACCCAGTGTCTCATGCATTCGAGGCAAGTGTTCTACCACTGAGCTACAACCCCAGCCCCAGTTTTTTTTTTAAGAACAATTTATCTGAATAAAGTTTGGTTTTTAATTCAGACAATGCATTAGTTCTTAATAAATAATGAGTCAAGTGTGGTTTTCTGGGAAGGAGGAGTGGCTATGATTTTTCTGACATAATAGCACTTTGTGTTTGAGTTTTATAGCATAGGCATAAAAGAAGTAATTTTTTCCAGAAGTATTGGAGGAGTTCGTCTGTTTCCTAAGGGCATCTCCTTAAATTGAAATTTTAATTGTAATAAAATATACGTGACATAAAATTAACACTCAGGTTTGAATCACAAAGTTCACTGCCAAGTGAACACAGAAGATCATTGCCAATTGAAAAGGTGTCATTTCTAGGCAATGTTGGGAGYTGTTAGGAGGCTGTAAGGAGGTCATGTGAGCTTCCCTGTCTCCCTCTAGTGCTATTTCTGGTTTAAGGTCACAARTGTAGATAGAGGTCTCTCAACTCTTCCTTTCTTAGAGTATTACTGCTTTCTATATGATTTCTACTACACTTTGGATCCATTAGCTAGAGATCCATGTCACGTTGATCATTAGTGGACCCTTATTTTGCATTTTATACATTTATTAGTGTGTTGTCTTAAAAGTCAGCTTTCAGGGAATGATTTCATCTTGCCTCCCAGAAAGTACTTTTACATTTTGAAGGCCTGTAAACAATGTTGTATTAGATAGTGGCTTCTTTATTTTCACCCATTATCATTTTATTAGAAAATGTTTTCAAGAAACTGATATTGTAATTTATGTAAATAATCTCTAAAATCCAGTAATTGTGCATTTTAAAAATATATTTATTTTTTAGTTATAGGTGGACCCAGTATATTTATTTTATTTTTATGTGGTACCAAGAATTGAACCCAGGGTCTCACACATTCGAGGTGAGCRCTCTCCCTTGGAGCCACAATCCCAGCCCATAATTATGCATTTTCTAATGAGCATAGGGAGGATTATTTATTTTGTAATTTCTGTAATACTTGTTGATATCTTACAAATTAGGCTACCGAGGCACAAGGAGTTTAAGGAAAGGGTCCAAGTCTATGAAATTAGTAAGGGACAGAATCAGAATTCAAACCCAGAAGTATGTTCTTAACTACCCTGTGCTATTTATCCCTTAACAAAAAATGGCTGAATCTCCTGAATATTTGTTCTGAGATAAATGCTTTACTTTTGAACAGTATGGAAGTTGCATATTTTCTCTTCTAGTATATTCTGGCTGAGCACAACACTCTGTTGAAAGGTGCATTTCTACTTGACTATAATGTTCATCTGAAAGTAACAGGAAAAGAAGGAAGGGGATCACTTGGGGAAAAGAAAACAGCAATTCTAATTTTGCATTTTCAAATACTGTATTTCTTATGAGACCTTAAAATAGAAACCTTAGGCTTGTAACATTTGCAGATTTTGTGAGTTTCTAGATGGTATATGCCCATATTTTTGAATTTATGAATGGTCTCTCATCAACTACAGTCACTTTCTGTTGCTCTGGGAGTAGAATGTTCTTCATCAAAAGGTTTTTCAGAAAAGGTGGCCAAAGGACAAAAAGAAAAAACAACATGGATTAARTCAAGGGAAAAAATGCTTCTGGCCATTTTACAAATCATTTCTGTCATTAATACTTTCCACATGTAAAGTAGCTCCTATTCTGCACTGAATGCCCTTGTTGCCTTAGCAACAAAACATAGATGTTTCTCAGAATGACACATTGGCTCAGAGGCCACCTCAACTTCTTTCGCACATAAGGCTCACGTGGAGGTATTCATGAGAAGAATATCCCAGGAGTCTGTATGTGAAATAAATTGGAATTATAATCACATCGGTGGCCAAGAAGCTTTATACCTAGGACCAAACTGAAATGTAACTCAGGAGACAGCGCTCTCTGGRCTCTGAGGAAAGACTGGAGTCCCTGTGAACCCAAGACTACCAACTTCCATGGGGCTGCAGTGGCAGCCCAGGATGCAATCACATCTGGCTGCCAAAGGAGCTCTCATAAATAGAAAAAAATGTCTCACTGCATAGACCTTTCAAATCACAGAGAACAAGTTACCAAAATTAATTGTGRACAAATAAACCCAGTGGAACATTGGGTGGGTCCAACCCAAATTAGGTCATTTTTGCCATTTCTTGATGTCTTTCTGAGGTTATTTCTGAAGCATACTTTCTTCACAAGCCTCATGCAAATCTGCTCTTTCCAAGATAGCCTTTGTGTTCCTGGGAGCTAGGGATGGACTGTGGCATGGATAGAAGCAGCTGTGACACTCGGAGGTATCCTAGTGTTAAAGCTGTAGAATTAGGGCCAAAAGAGCATAAGGAGATATCCCTGAAGTCTTTTCCCAAGATGAAGTACCTTATGTAAATCCTGAAATAGTTAAAAATAATGTGATATTGTATTATTTATCAATTGATCTTTATAGATAAATTGCCTTCTTCTTCCGCCTTCCATTGTGCTATTTTAGAATGTTCATATTTACTGTAAGTTTTTTTTCYTGTTTTCTTCTTCTGCCTTCAAGACTTGAAGTCCTCTTACACATGAAATTGGGTCTTGCTTTATGTTCAATTTAGCTTCTTCAATGTTAAGAAAACCCATAGGGAAATTGGAATATGGAGGTGAAATCAGAGGGAGGGAGGTAGCACTCAGGGATGTTGACCATTTTCCCATCCTATTTGGGTAATACAGAGTAAGTGAAGCACTGATGTGACCCATTAAAGGCTTTTCATGCATTAATAACATAATAATAACATAATAATTATTAATAATAACATAATAATATTAATAACACATAATAACCTAATGTGTTATTTCTACTTGTACTTTCTTCTAAAAGTGTCATAAAGACTTGGGTTTTTTTTTTTGTTTTGCCTATATAATTAGTCACTTTTTCATAGTTACTATTTTCACTAGAGCAGAAGAATCACTACTGAAGATTTGGTTGTTTTAAAGACACATTTCTGTTTTGATAATTACTTAAAAACTTAAGTTGGTCCAAAGTTTAGCTTAGTAGCTTTAGTAGGTTAACCTATTAAATATAACTAATATTTCCAAATTGTGGTTTGGAAATAGCTCAACACCACAAATTCGAATACCTATACAGAATTTTAAACTTTCTCCTCAAACAGGCATCTTGTATATATTTATTTCAGCTCTCATATAACTCAAATACCTAACAATCTCCTAATATCATGATGTTGCTTTCAACCAGTTAAAAAATCAGGATTTGTTACAGGATATTTAAATCCTCATAATGTGAGGTGGAGTAAATATAAGGTGAAACATATGTAGTACCTGTAGTTTCTAGTAAAGAATAATTAATCAAACAGAAAGATCTTGAGTTCACAACTCTGAGCAGAATTG